CATTTCAGCCCAAGTGATCTTCCTTTCTTCCTGCTTGTTTCACTCTTGCTTTAATTTCAGCTTCGTGCCGCCTTTCACGTAGCCCCCCTCAGCTTGAATCGGATCCCTGTTGTCTGTGTTGTCAACACAGCTGTTTAAATCCCTTCCCCCAAATACCCTGGCTTTCCAGAAAGCTCCTGCCTGCAAGGGCCAGGCGCTGTTCTCAGGCTTTTTGTCAGGTCCTGGGCTGAGCTCAGATTCCTGCTTGGACCAGCATGAGGTCAAAAATGGAGACGAACTCAGGAAAATCCTCCACTTCAGCAAAGCCTACTGCTCGCTGAGTGCGTGCTGGTGGCTGCTGCAGCGCTGCAGCCTGAGACTGACGGGCAACGCAGAGCGAAGCGAATGATTAGCATTATTAAAAATCCCTTGCAATTATACAGCACCTTTTCATCTAAAGATTTCAAAGCTTCACAGCACTCACACAAAGTTAGTTATTATCCCTGGCGTTTAGCAGAGTCAGGAAATGAAGGAAAGCAGCTCAGTGACTCGCCTTAGGTCATGCACTGAGTCGGCGTCAGAGGTGGGAACTCGGCCCCGAAGTGCTGACTCCACGGCTCATGCCCCAACGCGAGGACTCGCCTCACCTTCTCCTGTGCCAGGCCAGATCCTTGGGGGTGCAGAGATGGGGGATGCACTCGGCCCACCCAGAAGGTCAGCACAGCCCGGGCAGTGCTTGGGAGGTGCTTGGCCAGGACCAGCATCCTCTGTTCCCAAGCCCTGCTCCTTCCCCCAGGAGCATCGTGCACAGCGCCGAGGGGCTGTTGTGGGATCTGTCGTGCCTGAGGCTGCAGTCCGGCTTGCCACAGCACAGTGTGGCCAAGTCCATGGCCACCAGCGACCTGGAGGGCCTGGAAGGCAAGGTGTGGTGTGGTATGTCCCTGGGATGAGCATCACCACTGCAGCCCCCGTCTCCAGCACGCTCCCTCCAGGCCACTAGCCGTACGCACGCGAGAAGACTGCAAGGACCCTCCTTGACATGGAACATCTCTAGAGACGCTTCAACCTTGATACCCCAGAACATGCCACGCAGGAACCGGTGAGGACCAGAGGTGGTTTTGCTTATATCAGCACTGCAGTCAGGCTGCTACTCTTCCGCTAGCCAAACTCTGGCTACAGCGAAGGTGTGGCAGCACTGACGTCCTCCAGACCTGGTGGTCCAAGCCTGCCAAGGAGCCTAGATAAGCATGCAGACACCCGCCAGGAGATCAGAAATACATTTCTAAGATGTTACACTCTTTGGCTGGCATGGCCGGCTGCGCTGTGGGATGCACTGGGTGCCAAACCTCTGTGCCTTGCAGCAAGAGAGCTGAAAACATCAAGCCCTCATACACCATCACTTCGCTGCCTTCAGTCCAGTGCTGGGACTTTGGGACAGTGTGTCAGCAGAGAGGAAAGCCAGGAGGAGGGACTGAAGAGGGGGAGAGAGAGGAGACAGACAGAGAAAAAAGCAGACATGAAACAGGGTGAAGAAAGGCAGGTAGACCTCTAGACCTCACTGGCCAGAAGGCCTGGGCTGAGTCTCCTGGCCCTGCTGAGGTAAACCACCTTTTTGGTGAAGTACCACAAAATAGTTGTGGACAGCTAGATTTTTAAGGTAAAAAAATATTTCTAAAAAAAAGGCAACTACTCTACTTCTGCTCTTCCACTGTGTTGCTTATTTTTACCCTAGAAATATTAGGAAAATATACTTTGGTCAAGTTTCTTCTAGGAGACTTGAGATGATTCAGGTTTTTTAATGGTAAACAGTACCCCAATTCTTAAAATATTATAAGCTTGTGATCAAGACAGGCGTGACTGATACAGCTTCAGACTTCCAGGGGGTGTATTTAAAGAAATCACAGGAACTAATCCATATAGTCAGCTTTCCTTAGGAGCTCAGAGATTTACAAGTCTAAACTTTACTGGGATGGGACTCCGGCACTGGGGATAAAACTCTAGTTAATTGAGTATAACTTCAGTGGGGATAAAACCCAGACAAGGGGGAAAACTTGAAAGCAGAGACTGCAGTTAAATGAATTTCAGAACCTCTGAAATGATACTGAGAATGAGCAGTCATTACAAGAATTTTAAAAAGCAAACTAACCGTTTGGTTATAAGAGCTACATCTCAAAAAATGAGTTGGAGTTTTGTCTTTTACTGGATATTCATAAAAATGGGAAAATGTTTTTCCCAGTTGCATACAGCTGAAGAAAACAGGGAAGGAAAAGGAGAGATTACACGGGATAGAGCTTAATGTATAGTAGCTATGTGCAAACCTCAAACTCATACTTTGCCTTAACTTTCACTGAGGATAAGGATGTTAATCACGTGGCTGCAGATGAGAAGGATAATGAGATGGGGGTATGAAAATGTTCATGGCCAGGATAGAAGCAAACCTCAGGGCTCTTTCCTGCACCAAAGGCAGAGGAACGGGCTAATCCGCATGCCGGAGCTCTGGAAGAACTGGCCCGATGTCTTTAACAGGTCCCTCAGTCAGGGACAGGAGCACAGTGAGCCTGTACAGAACAAGTGAACTGATCTGGACAAGAACAGGCATGAAGGTTTCAGCTTAATAGTGTATGGAAAGCCTCAGAACAAATGGTGAAGGCAAGGCTAGCAAAAGAGAGAGAGGTAAATGGCATGAGATTAAATGGGTTTATCAAACCCATTTATCTTTCTTGGGTAAGGCAAGCTGCAAGCCATTTGCTTAGTGAAGGAAATGGGGTGGATCTCACCTATCTGCACTTAAATTGCACATTTCATATGGTGCCATGTGGAAAGTTCTTAAGAAAAGGGAGAAGCGTTTTAGCACAAGGTATAAACCCCATAAAGACCTGCTGTGAGAGCAGCATGGGGCTGTCGGGCTGGAGGGCAGTTACCGGGGGAGTGTTAAACATCACTCCTGGCAAAGTGAGTTTGTAAATGAGCTTGGCATTAATGTTAGCGGAGAACTGGTGAAATTGCTGAGGACAGAAAATATGAAGCAACCTCAGGACAAAGGAAGATGAGATACTACACAGAAACAAGCAGTCAGCAGCAGAAAGTGGCGGTCACAGGCACAAATGACCAAACCTTTTCCTACAAGCTAGGTGGCAGCTCATACTTCCATCACGGAATAACACGAAGCGAGAAATGCAGTCCTGAAAGGCAGCAGGAAAGGTGCAGCCCAGGCTGGGGTGTGCTCGAGGAGAGGCTATCTCACTTCATTTTGCAAAGCAAATGCTGAGAGCAGGAGGATTTCTCTGCATAAATAGTCCCAGAAAGGGAGAAGGAAGAGCTGGTGGTGCTAAGGGCCAGTGCTGGCACAGAATAAATGATCAGAAAGAGGCATCAGACATTTTGGTTAGAAGATTGTTACTAACCATTTGACAATGTGGTTCTGGAACAACCTCCCCCTGGCAGTCATGCATGCAAAATATTAAATCTCTTTGAGGACGGAACTTGATAAGTTTATGAAAAGGATTATATCACATGGTGCCTGTGATAGGAGACGTGGTAGCACAGAAGTTCCTGCCAGTCCTATGCACAAAGGTAAATATTCTGTAACCCTCTGTCAATATAAATATAGAACATGTGATTATACACACACAAAAAGCAGGCACATGATTTATTAATCACAGGACTTCAGCTTGTCAAATAATAATTACAAGGCAATAACACACCTTGTTTTAATAAATGGCTCCCTAAGATTTTCTCCCACATTAAACCAGTAAAAAAAGGACAATTATTCTGAGGTAAAGGCGGTATTTCTGGTTGTTAGCTTTTAAATGAACTCACTGTCTGGAACTCTTAAATCAAGTACTCCCATTTTTCTGCACATTTCACAAGTTCAGCCCTTTCCAGTAAAGCGTCTTTTCAGATGCGTGATTGCCTTTTGTTAAGGCAAGAACGAACAGATGACAACTGCAGCACAGAGGAGACATGCCTGGAACAGTTTTACAAAGCAAACCCAATTCTAACGCTTCTGCCAGGAGGGTGTACTCAGAAACGTGAAGAGGGATGGCTTTTTGTGCAATGTGAGGGGCCAGTCCTGGAAAGCCAGGATAGAGGCAGGCAAGCTGTGGTTCGGGAATGTGTTTATCTAAAGCCATCGCGCTGGGTGACACTTCAGTTTCCAAGCGTTAGCTGATCCCCACTCCACCTCCCAAGGGTGACCAGCCTCGGCAGGAGCTGCACACACAGGTCTGCAGCGCAGCCCTGTTCTCAGCTGAGGGATAGAGCTGCAGGAGGATGTTCAAAAGGAACGCTAATTACCGAGCATGAAAAAAAAAAAAAAAAAAAAAAAAGCAAAGGCGTGTTTTAGTATCCTTTCAACCTGGAGCTGACGCTGCCTGATGAAGATTGGGATTGCTGTGCTTGCAGTTCATTTTCTGAAGGCACCTTCGCAGAAGATGCAAAAATAAAAGTAGGCTGAAGGAAAAGAAAGCAGAAGGCCAAGAGACAGGCAACTGAACAGAGCAGATTGATTCAACAGATATGATACATTTTTACTCTCTGCATTATGTGTGGAAATTTATATTCCAAGTGACACAGTAACAGACTCGATTGTAATCAAACAACACTGCCGAGGTGTCAGGAGCACAGATGCTGCCTATCGAAAATATTTAAAACAGAAAGTAAAACTTTGAAAAACCCACAGCGGGGAGCGCAACGAAAATGCTCTGCGATGTTTCTAACCCAACGCCACTTCTCCCTGCTTTTTCCTGCTCCCTCTGGTGCTGGGAGGTCAGGCGACCTCCGTGAGTCACCCCAGCTTCAGCTCAGATAAACCTTGATGAAAAGCAAAGGCCGGCAGCAAGCTGGACACCGGCCGTGTCTATTGTGCATTAGACATCGGATGGGGGGGAAGGGCTGCTCCACGCGTTTTGGGGAACTTCAGCCAATGGATTCCTCCCCTGGGTGTTGCGGGAGGGCTTGGCCAGCATGTGAGAAAGGGAGGGGAAGAGTTTGAAAACAACCCAGCAGGCTCTAAGGAAGGCAGGCGGCTAGAAAGTGACCTGCTCGCCTTCCGTGCAAGCATTTTGCTCCAGGTGATCGGCGGCGTTAGGGGTGGAAGGGCCCCAGTGGCTGCCGGTAGGTCCCCACTTGGCGTGGGTCGGTGTGGCGGAGGGTCTGGGCACAGGTAACCCCGGGATGCAGGTGGCGGGGAGCGGGCCTTAAGCAGGTTGCGTGGAACTGCAAACTGGCCAGAAACAGTCAAAAGAGATGTTTTTTTAATGGGGGGGAAGAATTCTGCTCTTTTGTTTTGATGAGGATGTTGGTGGTATGTTTGCTATTAATACGGCTGGGGGAGGTCGGTCGGGAGGGAGCAAGCAGGTCTCTACAGCTCAGAGATTAGCATGTGATCAACTGTCTTTTAAACATTGCAGGCGGTTTTGAGGTTAGAAAGGCAAAAGGAGGCAATATCTTTTAGCAGACTGGTTGATACAATGGAAAAATACAAATAATCTTTCATGCACATCAGCCCTTTCTCAGGTCACAGTGTTTTAGAAATCAGAAAGTATGTGCAGTCAAATCTAGATGAGATTTTTTCGGTGATTGATAGCCCAGCTGCTAATAGAGACATTCAGCAGAAGAAAGAAAAAACACTACATTTTCTTGTCTGGAGGTGTGCTGGACGGTTCAGAGGTTTTCATCTTCTTTTCATTACTGACCCAGCTTTTGGGCCTCTTGAAAGTGATCCAGTCCTAAATTTCACCAGATAATCCTCTAGCAATTTTCCACTGTGCTTTAAAAACATGTAATTGGCACGATGCACTGATGTGGTATTTTGTGGCATAGTCTCTTGTGCAGGTTCTGTTTACTATTTCAGTCTATTTTCTCTGCCATCTCTTTCCTCCTCACTGCAAAATCTCTTTAAAGCCCCTCTTCTGGCTTGCAGAGGAAGCTGAATTCCATGATCTGTGTTAATAGCTAGGATTTATTTTCCAAATCTTGGTGATGACACTGTAGCGGTTTGCCTGGTAACGTGCTAATCAGCGGAGGTGCAAAGAGCAAACTAGAAATTATTTTTTGATTGATGGGGAAACAAAATCTTTTGACGGTGCCTCTAGGTTGCATGTGAAAAAAGTCTTGTGTGAGCATGTTAAACTGTCCAGACTTGAAAATGTCTGCAACTTATGTTTTCATGAACAAGAGCGATTTTCTTTCTGTCACTTGTCTGACAGGGAAGTCAGACCATTCACCATTAAAAACACAGCAATCACGCTGCGCCGTCTTTTAACAGATCACTGTTGTTTTGAGTCTTAAATATAGTTTTGATGATTCATGCAGAGCTGGGCCCGTAAGTGAATTCAGAGGCTCTTCAGTTAAAAGTATGCTGAATCGGAGTGGAGTTATACTGGAAAAATATGTAAAACCACTAGAAAAGTCAGGTCATAATCTGTTAACTGAGGAGGATTCTCTTGCTGGCTGCTGAAAAATCCTGCAATGCAAAAGGACTAAAGCAGAAGGGATCTGTATTGTCTTTCCTCATAGCACCGGACTGCTGTCGCTTGGGCTCTCCGGAGTGACAAGTTACAGAGAGAAAACAAAAGGGTTAGCAGAGTTTTTAGGGGGCACTGTGAATGGAGGCAAAACACATGACAAAGAAAGGAGACTACCGCCTCTAATTAGGTGCCTGGCCTCAGGCAGTGCGTATAGAATAAACAGGGTAATTGTGAACTAAAAGAAGGCAGAAAGTTTGGAAGGTAGCGGACGGCCGTGCTGCCAGTCCTACCCGCGCACGGCGCTCAGGGTTTCGGCGCGGAGAAGGCGGCTGCAGCGCCTCGTAGCTGTGGGGTCGGCCGAGCGGCG